TGAAAAGAATCACTGTCAAGACAGAGAATGTGCCAGACTCACAAATGCAGATAATAATTTGGACATTCTTCTGAATGAGCTGCTGCAGGCTCTTCATTCTGACCTCCTCTTCTTTCTTTACAATCCCCTGGGAATTAAGACAGGAAATGCCACCATAGGCCACACAGGCAGGCTCTGCATCTACCTCTGGGACAACTGTCAAGTCAGAGTCCTTAAGGAATTTTAAGGACCCTGTCTCTCTCACAGTCCCGAGCACTTGGCTCTAGGACTCAGAAAATACACTCTCTCCAAAATCTGCCCATAATTCTGCATATCAACTGTTGTGTGATCCATCAAAAGGAATTTAGTAAAGACAGGCTGGCTAAGCACGGCAGGGAATGAGAGGAGAGCAGAGCCTAGCAAGGGGACTTACTCAGAGAACTCCTAAAACCACATGGAAAGATCCAGAAGCCGGTCGCCCTCTATGCAAAATCACAACAGCATCTTCAGTTAATTATACTTGATACAGATTACAAATGACTTTGTTTTTCCTAATTGTGGGAAATCATGAACTCTCTCCCTCCTTCTATTACTGTTCTCGAGCCAAAGGTTCTGCACGTTTCAAACATTTAGTGGCAAAACAATATACCAGGACATTTTACTTAGAAAGAGAATAATCTATTCGTTTTGAATGCAATTCTCATATATGGAGAAGAGAATGAGCATATCGGGCATGATGGAACAATGACCAAACGAGCTAATTACCATCTTGTCCCAAGACAAATCTACTTGTCATTGGAACAGGAGCCATTATTTCAGACTAAATAATGGCCTATATAAAAAGTAATGGCGACAAGCTGTAGCAGCCAGTGACACAGCTTCATCTTGGCCTAAACGAACAGCAATTAACAAGTGTCACACCACACACACACACACACACACACACACACACACACACACACAGAGGAGCTAAGCTAGTCACTAAATATTGACAATGCACAAATGGATTTTAATCCATCTCTTCCCTGTGGTCTTCTACCTGGGTACTGACCGAAGACACATTTATACCCAGGAAAATTTCTGCCACCTTCAGAAACAGGAGAAGGGCATCTGGGTTTCCTCTGTTCTTGAAACCCAGAAGTGGCATTTCTTTGAGAGTCCAACAATTGAACAGATGAGCAGAGGAAGAGACCTCATCCTATTATTTTGTCCCCGTTCTCTGGTTGTCATGGCCACTGGGCTAGAAACTAGATCCACAGCAAGCAGCAGCAGCAGCCATAAATGTTGAAGCTATCCATGCCTGCCTTCATGCACGGGGAGGAAGGATGCATGTGAGGTGCTGAGTGGTGTGACCTCAAGGACCATGAGCCCCCAGTTTAGAGGTGAGAGACTGGGGTACACACCTGCAGGCAAACTCCAGAGCAGAAATTTCAGGTCGCCCCAGCAACCAGTCTATATGCAATTTAGTCTGTCTGGACCCAGTAATTTTGTTTTTATTTTTTAGATCCAATTGTTTTTTTAATGTGAAATCAAGGTTACTACAGTAGGAGCAGGATGATATAGCGAACTTTCTTTTATTTCTCTGTTTTTTTGGGGGGGGGTGGAGAGAGGGCAGCTGAAACTAGAGCCTGAACTCCAAGCCTGGGCGCTATCCTTAAACTTTTTTTGCTCCAGGCTAGTACTCTGCTTCCAGCTTTTTAGTAGTCAATTGGAGATAAAGAGATTCACAGGCTTTCCTATCTTGGCTGGCTTTCAATTTCCATCCTCAGATCTCAGCCTCCTAAGTAGCTAGAATTACAGACATGAGCCACTAAAGTCTAGCTACGGTGGACTTTAAAACACATCATATTCAGAACACAGAACTCTAATACAGATACAGCTATATAACCAAATTATTGCACAAATACACATATACACACACAAGCATGTATGTGCACACACACACAACAGGAGTAGGAGGAAAACATGCTGGGAGAAGAGAGAAGTAAAACAAACCTGACTAATGTCTTCTAGGAACCTTGTAAGTGGAAGTTTCCTGCTGTGGGTCAGAGATCCATTTCCACCTCAGTATTATAGAACGCAGCAGCCAAGCATCCCACCAACCTGCCTAGTTCCTCCTAACCACTCAATATGGCCACAAGCAACATGTCAGTCATACAGTGATCTGATTTTTGTTGACACCAAAGCTCCCATCCCATGTATCCTACAAGGAGCATAATGGACAGAGTATACAGAGTGTCTTTCCTGTGTCTCCCCCACCTACTCCTCAGCCATTCCAAGCAGCTGACTTAAGTGCAAGGCATTTCCAGCATTATCTGCCCCTAGCAGCAGCTACATGCTCCCCCTAGGATGACCCCACCCAAACTGGTTATGCATTTGCAGTAATCCAAAGAACATGGCCCTTCATCTACAGACATCTAAAGGAGGTAGGTATAAACAAAATACCCACCTCTCCTCCCTTCGAAGTAATCCATTCTGTCAGAGTAGACAGAATTTGCACAATCTTCTATCAGAACTGCCATAAATGTTGATCAGTGAGATCTTCTTGCTCTGCGATCTTGGTTCCTTCCATCTAGGATAGGTTGGATGTCTCAGGGCCCAAATACTAATAAGTAAATACAGGAAGAAGGGGCCAACAAACGAATACCCCTTTACCTGACAATCTATTATTTCACTCTTCTGCAAAGTTTCTCCCACTGCACTGACATCTGAGTCCTGAGTCTCTCTGGCCTTTACTACCTCTCTCTCTCTGTGGTGACTCCTCTTATGATTCTGTAAGAAAGACTTTATGATTCTGTAAGAGGAAAATGCTTTTGCTGGGTCTTGTGAATTAGCTAAAAGTCCCCAACCTTTTTATCTGTGGCCTTCGATCTGAGGTACAGTTAACTATGTGACCACCATGGACACCAAGAAAGACCAAATTCACAAGAAGCAAGCTTGTGTGGAAAACAAACTGCCCTCATACAAGCAATATCTTCTTCCTATTACAGAAAATAAATAATGAAAACTTCAGGAGACTACCTTGTTCCTGTTCCATTCCAGTAATAAAGTAATAATTTGTCTGAAATTCCTTCTGGGACAAAGACTGAGCTAATCACCAACCAAGCCATAGCTGTGACTTGGGACTATTTTAATTACATACCTTTCTCGTTCCCTGCCCTCAATTCTCCCTATCTAACCTAAAGACAGTATCTGTACTTCTGAAAATGGCTGAAGCTATACTGAAGTGCTGGCTTCCCATATAATGAATCTCCTTTCTCTGCCCTTCAACATGTCTATTTGGCATATGGAGGCAACTGGCCAGGTCTAACAGGACCCCCGGATACTGGGACTGGATCTAAAAACCTGGTTTCAACCCTAGACAACCCCTCCCACCTCAGATCCTCACACATGCTGCTCCCTCTATGTAGAGGATCCCCAAGCTGGCCCAGTGTGGCTGTGTCAGCACCACGCCCCCTCACCCCTCCAAGATCCACTCAAGCATCCTCCTGAGGGACCATTCACACATCCTTCCAGCTGTTTCCCAGCTAGCAATGTTTATCTTCAAAGACTGCCTGCCATTTGTGACAACATGAAGAAAGAACTGAGGCTGGCTTGTTCCCTATATCCCAGCACCTAGTGCTATTATTGACCCCAACATTGACAGCCAATGAGATTTACCATCCAACTTACTAGTTGGATGTTTAGATCTCAAGTGCACCACAGCCACCTGTATGGGGTAAGGGGATTGAGCATTATAGCCAGGCTCTACCTATGACAGACTGTTTGTCCCCTACAGAGACTGTAAAAAGACAATGGAGCTGAATGATTCCTATCACCTACGACATTGTAGCTGTCACAATTTCACAGTGCAGAGTGTGACCCCTGTGTCTGTGAGGTTGGTGGTATAAACAGACCTACTGCATGTCCAGTCCCAAAAAACTAGATCCCATACACTCATGTTGCAAATAGAGCCTGAAAAGAAAGACCAGTTATTGGCTGATGTACTCAGTTCACTATGATTGTTATCTTTATTTCAGAATGGTCTTATATTAGTTTTTTTTAAAGTATATTGTGGGATGCTGAGATCTGAGGATCAAGGTTTGAAGCAAGCCTGGGCAAACAAATATGAAAGACTCATATCCAATTAACCAGTAAAAAGACAGAAGTGGAAATATGGCTCAAGTGATAAGAGCACCAGCCCTGAGCAGAAAAAGTCAAGCAAAGGTGTTAAGTCCTGAGTTCAAGCCCCAGTACTGGCACCAAAAAGAAAAGCCTATTGTTAACCCCAAGTCCCATTATGTTACAGCAGCCTCCTACGTCTCATGCTGCATCAAGAGACCACATCAGTGGGTTAGTGGCCTCTGGAAACCACCTTGTGACTCTAGTGACGCTGTCTCAGATCCCATCGCCAACAAGTGACACAGAGCAGTATGCTGAAAGACTGAGGGAGCACAAGATCAGATGAAAACAGAAGTCAGCCTCAGACCACTGAAACATCATACTGAAACTCAAATAAACCCCACAATGTAGCACCAAGACACATGTGGTATGACATGAATCTCAGAACCAGACACATGTCTGGGAGATATGAATTTCCCTCCACTAGTCACTGTTTCCTGGTACATTTACATGCCAGAAGCATGTGACTCTGGCACATCCCCATGATAGGAAAGGAAGGAGGCTCCAGGAGAAGGTGGCATCTGGTGGGGAAAGTCAGACCACCTTGAGCGAGGGGCAGAGCCCCACCAGTTGGCCTGCAGGCCCGTTAGCTGGTAATACCATGCCGGCGCCACAAGACGGGAGAGGCCCTCCAGCCTGAGAGGAAGAGGGAAAGACAACCTTGCTCCAGAGTCAGCTCCAGCCTGAATGACATGTGGGAAGAGGCCCTTGCCACAGCTGTCACAGCTCCACTCTACCTTCTACCCTCCATCCGAAGCACCTGGATGTGTAGCTGACACCCAAACCCACTCACTCACCTATGTCCACTTGAGCACACGCTCTGCCGACCTGTCTCACTAGGTCCTAATCTCAATGCTCACCTTCTTAACGAAGTCTGGGATGAGTTTTTGGTGGTCTAAGGAGGAACAGCAATCTAATTCCAAGATGTAGTCTTCATTGTGAAGATCAGTTTTCTGAGATCTGAAGAGAGAAAACACACAAGGATTGAAATTGTCCACAATTTTCTTAAAAAAGGAATCACTGGATATTAGACAAAACCCCAAAATCTGTTCTGAAAGTAGATGTTAAAAGCAACACTGCTGAAAAATCATTTATGAGAGAGAATGCGAAGAGGTCATCAAATGACCTCTAAGAAGGCTGAATATGATGGCACATGCCTGTAATCTCAGTACTCTCGAGGCTGAGGCAGGAGGATTGAGAGTTTGAGGCCAGACTGGACTACATACAAAGATCCTATTAAGGGGAGGAGGTGAAGGGGAGAGGGAGAAGGAAGAAACAGGAGATGGGGTAGAAGAAGTGGAAGGGAAGGAAGGTGGAAAGAAGGGAAGGCAGAAGTGAGAGGGAGAGAGGGAGAGAAAAGAGGAGAGAAAAGAGGAGAAACGGGGAAGGATAGAAGGGAAGGGAGACGGGAGAAGAGTTTCCAAGACATCTGATCTTCATGTAAAATACATCATTATAGAATTATAGGCTTAGGACAATATGGCTCACACAGAACACACATATACAACACTCACTTCAGTAACATATTTTCCATTGACAGACACAGGCAAAGAACTAGCAGCATACTGTCTCTCTCTCTCTCTCTCTCTCTCTCTCTCTCTCTCTCTCTCTCTCTCACACACACACACACACACACACACACACACTCTCACACACACAAGCCGTTAACAACAGTTATGTCTGGGAATAGGGAGGGCCTGAGGAAACCAGGGCTGGTATGGAGAATGATTATGACTGACTTTAGTTGTACTCTCCAATTTTATTCACTATTTAATGAATAGAATATATTCATCTATCACAATTCAAAGATTCATTTTTTCAAAGACTTTAAAACGACTCGTCCCTTTTTAAAGATCTTGCCATCTGGCACGATAGATCCAAATTAAAGAAGTTTCACAGAAGCTCAGAGCAACTGAAAGCAGAAGTTCTGGGGAAAGAGGCTGGAACGAAAGGTGACAGGTTGAAGGAAGGCCCTGCCCAGCCCGGCCACCTGCAGCAGTGGGCTGCTCCCCAAGTTCCCTCTGTCCAGACATGCTTGTGATATGGCAATCCCCAAAGGGAAAAACCACCCATCACATCATCCCTTTACATTCTAAAGTGTAAAAATTCTTTTGTCGCTTTCTCTGTGTGACGTTAAGGTAGGACTGGGGAACTTCTAGAGGCCACGTGATGTTGGGAATTGAAGGGGATTCCTTGGCCCAACCTGGCCTAGGGAATAAGACCCAAGTAGAAATCAAGGGAATGTGCTTAAGTGTGGCTACTTGTGAGGAGCAGACATTAAAGTACAGGCTCACTCCTCACACACAGCCCTTCCATGAAGGGCCGAGGTATGTGGGGAAACTCCTGGCCCCTTATGAACTCACAAAGGGGGCCCTGACCAGGCCAGGCCATCTTGCAAGTGGATTTCATACCATACCCCGAGATACACACGTCATCTTACCCTGGTTTCTAAACGCATATTTGTCATAATACTTTAAAAATGAATTTCTATGATTCTTATGTAGCGTTAAAAGCAATTTATGATATCATTAACCAGCTGGGTAAGATTTACATGAAATTTGAAAGTGAAAAAAAAATTAAAGAGGATTTGGTTTTCCCAGGTGTGACACTGTGGTTCGGTAAGCAAACTTCAATAGCTTATTTTAATTTTCTTTTTCCCTTTTACATATCCTTTCTGGGGTAGCGTAATGAGGCACATATGTTTGAAATGCAAAAGAATAAATTGATTTCAAGCCAGTCAACCTGGATTAAATGAATCTTAACAGAATAAAACAAACTCTGTACCTCAGCCACTATCTTAACACTTGGTCAGAGATGAGATTCATATTCTCAGTCCTCCCCATAAAAACAACAGAAGATCCAGACTTTCAAAAGAGAAGACCTGATAAGACATACTGTCATAGGTATTACAGGGGTCTTAAAAAGCAATGAAAGGGGTAAGGGAATGGAGTTTCTAAAATGTAAAATCCTACCCCAGGTGCTGGTTGCCATTTCCAGCAGAAAAGTCCAGGAGAGTCCATCTCCAGTTAACCAGTAAAATTCTTGGCTGGAGGCATGGCTCAAATGGTAGAGCGTCAGATAAACAAGCAAGCAGAACAAGTCTGAGGCCCTGAGTTCAAACCCTGGTACACACACACACACACACACAAAATCCCAGCTCTCTATCACGTGGAAACTAATATCAGGCTATCCAAGGTTACTTATAAATAGCCAATGCAGTTTTAAGTGATTCAGACTGGAAAAACTGTAATTATTTAAGACAAATGAACACTAGCGACTCAATGAAACACTCCTAAGATGAGTGAAGTGGAGTCTATAAACAATCCACAGCTCACACTCAAAAGGAATCATAAAGAATTAGCACAGAATCTAGTAAGTACCCTTTTGGTTCTGGAACAAGAAATTCTGTAACAAGAATGGCAGCTCTGGTTCACTTCACCCAATAATTAACTCAGCTACATCTGAACGAAAGGAAGACAAAGGACTGACAAGAAAAGGCATTAGGACTTTTCAAGATGAACCGTGAAGAAAATTACCTTTGCCTACTGTTTCTTGGATCTTAAACCCACGGTGAATTGAGGAAATACAGGAACAGTGGAAAAGCCTTTAAGAGTTGACTCCCCAGCCTCCACAGGTTTTGGGGCAAGACCTGTGGCTCACTTGAACTCAGTAAATATAGCCAAGATAGTAGGAACATCCTGTAATTGTATTAGGCTCTAAAAGACTCTATCCTGCAGGCTGGAGCTAGAGATCCCTCACTGGCTTGAAGGACACTGTCATGACATTGAGTGTCCTATGGCAAAGAAATGTGGACAGCCCCTGACCAACAGCTGGAAGAGAGCAGTCCTCTGAGTGCAAGAGATAAGTTCTGCCAACACCTGAGGGAGTTCGGAGGTAACTTTTACCCAGCTGAATTTCTGATGAGACCACAGCCCCAGCCAACACCAACACTACAGCCTGTTGGGATCCTGAACAGCGAAGCCAGATAAACTACAGGTATCTCAAGGGAATAAATACATGTTCTTCTGAGCTGCTACATTTGTCACAACATATTACAGAGCATAAAAAGCTACTTCAGGCTGGGAATGTGGCTCAGTGGTGGAGTGCTTGCCTAGCATTCATGAGGCCCTAGGTTGGATTCCTCAGTACCACATAACCAGAAAAGGCTGGAAATGGTGCTGTGGTGCTGTGGTACAGTGCTAGAGAAAAAGAAGTCTAGGGACAGTGCCCAGGTCCTGTGTTCAAACCTCAGGACTGGCAAAAAAAAAAAAAAAAAAGCTACTTCAGTTCCAAGGATGAAGAAGACAAAGGAGCTTTGTATTCAGAATAGGCCTCTCATTGGTTGACAAATGGATACTCACACCCACATGATCCAGTCAAACCTGAGAGCAGCCTCTTTCAGCAACAAATGTTCTGCATCCCCAGCAACTACCTTGGGAGAGAGAAGTCAATGTCTCCCAGTGGGGCCACCATGGGCCAGCGCCTGGCTACCCAAAGGCCTTCAACACAAGAGACCAGATACTATCTAGTCATTCTAGAGGAGATGTATTAAAATGCAACCCCCTAATAAACAAGCACAGGCCACCCCCCTGCAGGGGAGGGGAAATACCAGTTATGTGTCACAAAAGGCCATGTGAGTGCCCAGTCCTGAAGAATGGACCTGGGAAACCACCGAACATCCCCTGGACCAAGGGACAAAAACTACCAGACAGAGAAATATGTGCTGAAATTATAACAAAAACGTCAAGGTACCACTGGACATACCTATAATCCTTACTTGGAAGATATTGTTAGGACTGAAGTTCAAGACCAGCCCAGGCAGAAAAATGTTCATGGGACTCCTTCTCAATGGAAAGCTGCTTCTAGCTCAAAAGTAACCAACAAAACTCAGGGCTGGATGTGTGGATCGGTAGTGAGAGCACTCATTTAGGAAGTACGAAATGCTGGATTCAAAACTCAGTAATGTTCATAAAAAAGAAACAAAGAAAAGGAATGACTCTCTGAAAAGAGCAGGGCTGATGGTAAATTATGAATTACATGCCTTCATAATTTTTTTGGAGGGGGGGGTCCGGTCATGGAGCCTGAACTCTGGGCCTGGGCGCTGTCCCTCAGCTCTTCAGCTCAAGGCTAGCGCCCTACCACTTGAGCCACAGCGCCACTTCTGGCTTTTTTCTTTTTTCTTACGTGGTGCTGAGGAATCGAACCCAGGGCCTCAGGCATGCAAGGCAAGCGCTCTACCACTAAGCCACCTTCCCAGCCCCATGTCTTCATAATTTTTTAAAAACATTTTTATTATCTTTAAGTAGTTGTAAGCTAGAGTTGCCATTCAACAAAGCAGTTTATGAATACAGTGCATCTCGATCAATGTCACTCCTTTCTACAGTTCTACCCCTCCCAACCCCCCTTTCCCTCACTTTAATTTTTGTAGGATATACTCCAATATTTTGCCATTTAATAAAGCAGTTTATATACAATACATCTTTATCTGTGACATCCCTTCAACATTTTCACCCCTTTTCAACCCACCCCTTCCCTTATTTTTCCAATTTCCCTGGTATATATAATGAATTCTTGACTGTATTTTCCCCACCTCCCCTAATCATTCGTCTACACTTCTCCCCTTGGGCCCACCCCCACTCTTGCAAGTACCCATTTCCTGGTATATTAAGTGAAGTAAGCCAGGTCCAGAAAAACAACAGTTGCATGTTTTCCCTCATTTGTAGTAGCCAGAATGTGCCTATAAATCTGTTAAGTAAACACACTGGGTGGTATGTAAGCAGTTACAAGTGAATTAACTAAAGTATAATAGAATCTATGGAGAGCTCAAATAGTATTATTCTTTTAAAAGATTTTTTTATAACACCAGTACTGAATTCAGGGCCTGGGTATTTCCTGCCTGGGCTGGCTTCAAACCACAGTCCTCAGATCTTGGCCTCTTGAGAAGGCATAATTATAGGCGT